CAAATTCCATTTTTGTTTTTGTCGCTCGCCATTTTTAATTCCGTCTCGAACCTTCTCTTCTTGGGCACCATACAGACCGAAATTTCTGCATGTAAACCCAACGTAAAGTTGTTCCGCCTTCTAGGATCTTCCTCCCTCCATATAACAGCCCCTTAGGTCTTCTTTCCTCAAGCATGATTGTGCGCCTTCATGTGTGTGGGCGGGTCTCCATCCCCGTCGCTTCATAATCAAGTCTGTCTTGGCCACAGGTAAATTTTGTCTCCTCTGTGTGTGTGGCCCATCCATCACAGTGTTCATTACTTTGGCTCCTCTTCTATCAGCCGCTTCCCTGCCTGTCTCCCAAGTCTTCATCTTGGATTCTTCTGGGACAGTAAATCCGCAGGATGCTCCTTAGAAACTTATTTTTTAAACGCCTGCAGCTTCTGCTTAGTTCCTTGTTAGACCTTGGTAATTAATACCAATTTTCTACAGCATACAAGAGCGCGGCCTTCACACTTGACCCAAGTCTCTCACCTTCACCCTTTCGTCAGTGATTTGGGCACTGCGAACACCTGCCGCTCCTTCCCATTGCGTGCCTGGATTTCTTCCTCACTCTTTTGTCCTACAGGTAATAGACTCATTAAACAAATATAATTTGTCTGCGTTCTTCCTGAGATTGAATCATGAGTTGCCTCGGCAATATGTAGTGTAAAGGATGGTCTTCAGACTTCATCGTATCCATGTACTTAACCAAAGTTATCTCTTCCTTTCTTTAGCCTTGCTATGTTTGCTATTTGCAAGGCCTCCATTCAGGACTCAGCTTCAGGATTAGACTGCAAACAAGCTCTCCATTCGGGGGAATATCGTGAAAAGTAGATGCGCGAGGGGAGACGCGAAAGCGGGGGGCTTTCTCGCGCGTTCTCGCGCGTCTTGCTTTGTTCGCCCAAGTAGGAGAGCTTGCTCGCGGGCTACTTCAAGATAAATTATCCTCAAAGCTTTTTTTTGCACTCCCTCGATCACATCGGATAAATAGTCCGGAATAGCCCACCATACAGCGACAGCATATTCTAACACAGGTCTATATAATCCAAGGCAGTGGTATCAGCGACAAATTTAATACGGAGGTGCCAATCAGACAGGAGGTTGTTTGTCATGACTGTGAAAAAGATTACACCTAGTTTTGTCCCTTGGGGTACTCCTCCTTTCAGTGTTCCTCCGATTCTAACTGCTTTCTGCCTGTTTGTCAGGAAAGTCGCGATCCATTTCAGAAGCATAGGATGAGCCAGATCTGGCCAGTTCTCGCATCGGATAGTGTAGTCAGTAAGATCAAATCCCTTCGTGAAATCAGCGACGAATAGCCGAGCAGAAGCCTTACCACAATCCACTGCTTCATAGATAGCTTGCAGCATGTATAAAAGGGCATCTGTTGTCGAATGCCCCTTACTCACAATACTCCCAAGGTACCTGAACTCGTCAACCTTCTAGCTCAATCTGTTACCCGACAATCATCACAACTCACATCACACTTCTTGGCACCCTTTTTGTATTTGTGGCAATAATATTCAGGCCAACCTTCCCTCTGTTCCCCCAGAGCGCATGTCATGTCCTTTATGTTTTGTATCCTGTTTGATATCAGGGCCAGATCATCAGCGAAACCCCGATCTTCCAGGAGCACTGAATACCACACCTTCTTGCAAAGACTGTCCTTGACAGCCAATCCAGAGTGACCAGGAAACCTTGTGGACCCCTCTAACGATTGGGACTGTCTTGATAGGTATTTCATAGTGCTGGAAGAGCTTCCTCAAAACCTCTCTGCTGACACTGTCAAAGGCCTTCATGTCAATGGACTGCCGGGCACTCAGTCCTGCGTTCCACAATAATTCTCAGCGTCGCTATATTGTCCGTACAGCTCCGACCAGGTTCGAAAACCCGCCTGTTCCTCTAATATTGTCCAATACCGTTTCAAACCACTCCAAAATCAACCTGCAGAAGAATTTTCTTGCAATGTTCAGCAGAATGATGCTTCCCAGTTTTTGCAGACGCTCAGGTCATGATTCTTTGGCATCTTGATTTACAGACCCTTACACTCTTTTGGCACCTTCTCCTCTTCCCACATCCAATTACTAAGCTCCAGGACAACTTTCTATGATACCTCATCGACAGCCTTGACTGCCTCTGATGGTATATCGTAGCAGCCTGCTGCCTTTTAGTTTCCAGTCTTAAGCTTTTTGATAGTGTTCTTGATGTTAGCACGAGTATTGTGACCTTATATCCAGTTCACTGGATGGGTCTGTACCGGAGGGTTTGGAGGTTCCTCATGGTTTAAGACACTCTCAAAGTATTCCTTCGACCTATGACTCTCCTCCCCTTCTGTCCTGAGCAACATTTTTCAGGCTTACAAGAGTTCTGGAAATATCCACTCAACGTCCCGGTAACCTCGAATAAAGCCTTAAAATCACCTGTCCTTTGGGCTTCCTCACCACGCTCCTCCTATGACTCTAGATCTACATAAAACCCTCTCCTCTCTCCTCTACAGTTCATCTCAAAGCTTTACTTCCTTATTTAACTCCTGGTATCTTTCTCTCCAATGGTTAAGATTAGCCAAGCACAGACACCTGTGGGATCGATCTAGGGAGGGGTTCCTCTGTCAAGAGTGAATGTAAATCCTGATGATGATGATGATGATGATGATGAGGAGGAGGAGGAGGAGGAGGACCTTTCTCTCGCAGCTCTCCTCTGGCTCGTTGTCTTGGCCATGTTCACGGACTTTCACGGCATTGTTTTGCCCCCTTTCGTTACTTAATTAGCCTCCATATTGATCTACTCCTTTTCTTTGGATTTCACCTTTTGCAGAACGTTTTCGCACGCGCCTCCAGAATAACCAGCATCGACCTAAGATTCTAACTGTTGCAGACTCTCAAACCTGTTTTGCACCACCAGTTTGAACAAGTCTTTTTGTCTCTATGTTCCTCAGCATGGTTACCTATAACGTACTCTAATTCTTCTTCAATTTTGGAATCTTTATCCGCACTTTTTCCATCAACAGGGGTGATCTGACACAAAATCGTCAATATCAGCACCGCGCATAAAGCACGAATAGACAGTATAAGGAGGGGGATTGGGAGACCCTCACTGCTATCCCCTGGAAGTCTTCTCCGCTCCGGGTTTCGAGCTCCTCCATCTCTTTCTAAACAGCGCATTAACTAGCTGATGTTTAGTACTACCACCTGGTGAAATCCATGTTTGCTTGTAGCAATCCTTCTGAAATTTGGAAATGCGCTCCATCAATTACCAGCTCATAGTGGTTTGACGAAAGTCGGACATCTCTCACCATTATGATTCTTTTCAGTCCTTGACTCTGTATGACCGTGACTTGCTACCACCTTGACTTGGACCTGGTGCTGCTCATCCCCTCAGGCACCGGTTTCCATTCTAACAGACTCTGTGCAGCATCTTTTAGCAGAATTAAACCAACTCTCTCATGACGCTCACCTTCATCCATTCCCGAGTAAAGCAAAGTTTCTTCAGTAGCCATCATCATCTTAACTTTCCACTGGAGTTCCATCTTATTTCTCTTAACCTCAGGATGCTTATAGCATACCTCCTTTTTTCATTAACCACCTGTGGTACACTTTCCACCCAGCTCTTGAGCATTTTCCTTAAATTCCATTGCCCAATCTTCACCCAAACTTCTGGCAACAGCGGTTTAATCGGCGGTTTCGGTTTCATTCTTTGCTTCGTATGTTGATTCAACTGTAAGTTGTCATTTTTTGCCCCTGCTTCCCCACAATAAGGCACGATGGGGAAAAGATACAGGAGCTTAACACAGATTTATTATTATCAATTGGGCGAAGGTTAATTTTCAATCGAATAGTGCTTTTTAAAACGCCAAATGAAACGTTTCCTCTAGATAGTTTACCGTAGTGTAAACGGCCAATTGGTTAGACGGCGACAGCCTCAGACACCACTGTGACTCCACATTAGAGATCTGTTTGTAGCTGGTATTTACTTCTTTCTGGGGTTCTTCTGATCCGGCGCAGAGAAGTCTTCCAGGGGACAGCAGTGAAGGTTTCCCAATTCCCCTCCTTATACTGTCTATTCGTGCTTTCTGGCTTTCCCTAGTCACACAGGCCACGACGACAGGTGTGTAGTACGTTAAGTACGTCGACTTGAGGGTAACCTGTTCCATGCATCAAGGTAGTGGGGAGGTACAAAGAGGAGTGAGCAGGAAAGACAGCCTTATTTTTTCCCGCCCTCTGACTTCGCGCTGAACTTCCTTTGCGGAACGCCTAGAACACGCTAACTTTAGGGTGTCGATAAGATTGTCAACAACACAACAATATAGTGGCGTCTTCTTTTTTTCACATCATGATCAGCTACTTCCTCTGGATAACAAAGTATTCGTTTTAAAAGTTCCTCTTTCTAGGCCGGCGTGATGGTGAGGTAAAGGATTCGATTGTCATTTTTAAAAACTTCAACAACATTTTCAGATGCGCTTGGGTTTCAGTCCTGCATCTTATTCTCGCGAAGCTCGCTTCGCAAGATTCTGCGATACACGTATTTCTAGTTTCTGTTGATGGTATTATTTCCTGGTTGGAGAAAATCCCATCTGACATGGTAAATTCTTCCGCTTCCTGGTGTTCAACCCGAGACCTCCCCGGTGGAAATGAGATGTAAATTTTCCTCGTCCCCGGTTCCTCTCGACTGTTTTGAACAAAGCGCAGTGATGAGTTGTTCCTTTGGCGTCAATGCATGTTAATTTATAGAAATATGGCTGTGTTTGCGGAGTAGATTTTTACTTAGCCCCAAAAATGGCTACTAAGGAAATGGAATCGTAAGTACAACAGTTTTTTTCCTTTTTAAATATGATTGTCGTTCCTGAAGTCCTGTTTTCTTTTCTTTTAGCACCGTCCAGATGAGGCTCTACACGCTCACAAAAAGGCAGTTTGTTTTGGTTTTCGTAGCGTTTTTCGTGGCTTTCTTTCTCACGGTTATTATCGGAATTGCAGGTTTGTCTCCATACGTAACGTTAGTTCTTGCCTCGTGAAAAGTAGCAATGTATTCTCTAGATGTAAGCCCTTTTCTATGCATTTCAATACTCTTAGTTTTACAATCAACATTATTACTTGGGAAACTTGAAACGAGCTAAATCGTGCAATAACTGCCAGTCACTCCCGCCTTCAATTTTAGGTATTAGTGAAGTCTCGCGTTAACTACAGGGGTGAAATTCCATTGTAAAACATGGTTGTCATCTTACGTATACGGAACGAGATATCCCGGTAAAAATTGGACCAGCTGCAAAAAATCGAATATTTCCAATGTTAAAGAAAATGCCGTGCAACGACGAGATTATGCCTTAAATAGGGCAGTGTAAATTTCTTAATTTACATTTCGAACTTTGGCTGATCGACGAACTTGCCTCGCAGTGTTCTTGTTCACTTAAAAAACAGCTGAATATTGTGTAAATATTTTCAGGTGAATTGTCTTGAAAGGTCGACCACTGAAATGTGCGACTTAACAATGATAATTACGATAAAGGTCCGAGAAATTCTTACTAGTCAGCTGCCCAGTATCCATGTTTTTAATGCACACATTTACTATATGTATTTTAAATTAGTTTGTTCTTCCTGGTTTGTTCTCCACTTTCACTTATTACAATTATTAGGAAAATAAACTATTTCCTGTTATTCGATCGTGATGTTTAGTAGTAAAAAATATTCTGTTATTCAATCTTACAAGTTATTCACTCCTATTTCAATGCAATTTAATAGTAATTAGTTTTAGTAATTCTTACAAGTTGTGAAAGGCAAGTTGCCTTGAACGTGTGTTATTGCAAAATCAGAGTTCAACTGTTGTGTCCAAATTTGGGTTTTCATAACATAGATCATCTTATTATCAGGGATCTATATTCATTTTTTCCCAGAGTCGTCAGCCAGGCAAGTAAGCCTGATGGCATACTTGCCCGGTTGCAATTTTCGTTGCCTGGGCAAAAGTGCAGAATTATGTAAAAGAATGGTGGAAATTGAACATTTCTGATCAGCGTCACTGTTGACTACAACATGCTACAGGACTAGGCTAAACACAGTTTATTTACGTTTTACAAGTAGCCATGGTTGGTCACTTTGCCATGAGGGCAAGACGGTGAACTTGTGTTTTTCCTTGTGCAAGGTAGTGGCTCCTGGATCACCTTTTGCTTCTGTAGAAGGCAGCGAAGTGTCTTTTTAAAATGTCACATCTTGATGGGTTCACTGAAGGTGACAAAACACCTTCTAAAAAATGCCACATCTTGATGAGTGCTATGGCATTTTCTATGAATGACCTCTGAATGCAGTACTTCACAAAAAACTGAGCCTGAGATCTTTTTTGTAGAAATTACTGCACCATCAAACAGGGGCGTACATGCCTTTAAGCAAATAAGCACGGCTTACAAGTGATTCGCACGGTATGAAATGTACTGGCAAAGAGCCGTGTATTTTCCTTTGTTTGATCATCTCCTACAAGAACGAAATGACAGGCTACGGTCACAAGAGAATTGTTTCATAGGACAATATCTTGTTCCAGCAAAGCTGAATGCTTTGAACAGTGGAGTACAAGATAAGCTTTATGGAACCCACAAAACCGATCTTTCAGAGAAGAGAGACTTTGACAATGAAATTTTAAGGTGGCAAACAAAGTGGTCTCATTCAACTGATGAAAAACGAGTGACACATCTCACAGAGACAGTCTCCAGCATGCTAATCCAGACCTTTATCCCAAGGCGGTCACAGTTATTAACATCCTCCTGACAATGCCATTGTCAACTGCCACCCCTGAACGATCTTTTAGCACGATGTGCAGAGTGAAGACGTACTTACGTTCCACGATGAAAACAGAGCCACTTGCCCTGATGCATGCTTACGGGGACATATCCATTGATATGTAGAAGCCGTGATTCGCGAATTTTGTGCCCAATTTCTTTGAGTTCCATCAAGATTTCAGATATGTGTGCAACTAATGTGTCGCTAGTCAGGTCATTACGTTGTTGGTGTTGTTCACCACAACCACAATTGGCTGTTCTTGTTCAATATGGAATCCTGGCATTTGCCAATTAATTTAAGCGCCCAGATTGCACCACATTACATCTCAGAGTACTTAAATTTTCAGAATTTTTCAGGAAGGCAGGTCCCCAGACCCCCCTAGCATGTCGCGTCTTAGGCTGTCACCACACATGCAACATGCATGGATCGCAAAGCAAGGCAGAAACACCATTTGGCTATATATATAATTTAGGGTTTTTGGGTTGGTAGTTGCAGTGACATCATCGATTTGTGATGTTGAGGTGCCTCGGTTCTGTTTTTCGTCTGTTTTGGCAATCCAGAGATGATTCTCGCAAGAAATTTTGATTAGGAAGTATTTTACAGAAAATATTGCATCAACTTGGCCAACAGATAATTATCAAAATACAAGCGAAAATCGAGTTAAAAGAACAATTGTCAGTGCGTCTCACTTCACAGATGAGTTTGGTTAGGTCGCGCAATATGTTTCTCTAAAGTGCATTTCAGTTGGGCTTTTTTACTGTCGAAATTCTTGTCTTTTTGTCCTGGAATCTAATTTACAATTCATTCTACACCATGGGAAACCTAAATTTAATTTGGCGTTTTCTCTGTTGATGGATCAAAGTTTCAACTGCCGTGTTTGTATTTCTTTCTAAATCTGGCAGCTGGAATACTACTAAATATGCTTTTCAAATAAAACCAGACAATACAAAAAGAAGAAGAAGAAAAGAAAGAATAAAGTGTACACGTAGGGATCCTCTCACAACAATATTTGTGGTGGGTCACCTATCCAGTTCTTTACCTCGCCCAACAGGGCTTAACTTGAGTGGCGCTAAAAACTCGAGTTTCACCAGGGTTATTGTGATATACGTATTTCTAGTAATATTTGTAAACTGGGCTAAATTTTGTTTGCAAAGTTCTGGGTTGCCCATTGAAGGTTGTCATAAAATTATAATTCTTATTGTTTGGCTCTCTCAAACAAAATGTACATGTACACGTGTGTTTAGTTTAGGGTTACTTATGGCCCATTCAATTCCAAGTTTCTCCTTTCCCCGGCCCGCTTCCCATGGATTCAAACCTTAAAGTTATAGAGTAAGTTCTGTGCCATCTAGTGTGTTGTTGTTGGCTAAAAATATTGTCAGAGGGCAGGGGATGTACGTGCTGGCCCTGGAGAGGGTACTCCCTTATATAAGCCATAGACGTGTGTGCCACCCCCAAGGGTATGGCTTTTGTGCCATTTCAGTCTAAAAAGGGATATAGACTTTGCCCTTTTTGGCCTGGAATCAAGTTTAGTTTTCAGGGGAACTAAAGGAGTTGATGAATGTATTTGTCGTTTCAATAGGGACCTTAAGCATCGACAACGAAACGGACAGCGATGATCGCAACCAAGGCAGACTGCGCCAAGGGTTTCACTTTAGGTGGGAAAAACGAAGTTTAAGCAGTGCAGCTTCCCAGACAGACAATGACTTTTTCTTTGCTAAGAACTTTGTCGTGTTACAGTCTTGTTATGGCATTCCAAGACCTCCGTAATTTGCATCTTATAACCTATGACGATTGTTTAATTGACCATTGTGAATTTATTGTTCTTTATGACCACTATTATTTGATTCTTGAGGCTTTCTCTTCATCGCGCAGCTTTTGTTTTTGTTTTTGTTTTGAAGTTAAAAGTAAATACCGATCTCGAACAGCTCTTGGCTTGCAGTTACTCTATTCAGCTGCTGAAGAGAATTCAGTGCTGCTACAATGTTCTCCCATATTTGTCCTCTCACAGAGCTCCTCATAACCACATCATGTTCCAGCTGAGTCCACTGGAAAAAAGTTGCCTTTAATAGCGGCTAAAAACAACATGAAAAATTAATTTTAGTACGAAAAAGTGAGCATTTATAATATTATATTATAAATGCTCACTAGTCTTTTCGACTGGTTGTTCCGTCGTCACTCAGGTTCTAAGACAAACCAAACCTGAAAAAAAAAATTCAAGTTAGCAGGTGAAGAAATCGACAAAGTGCTTAACATTTGGATTCTGCTAATCCACAAAGAATATATTTCTCCTTGTACTGAATGACAAGGGGGAAAAGAGGGATTTACATGCAAAAAGTGTAGTTTTATACTTATGTTTTCGCGATAACGACAAACCTCCCTGAATTTCATCATCGACGAAGGCTGGACGATGTTTTGATAATCTTACGCATGCTCAGAAGGTTCACGCGGCAAAATCTCACTTCCGGTCGGCGTCGTCATCCCATTTTGTCGTCGATGCTTAAGGTTGCTATAATTCCAAATGGATAAGAAAGAACGAGTAATATGTGACTTTGATCAAGAATTCTTTTTGTTGCCATTGTAATCTTATGACAGTCATCATTCCTGCCAGGCCAGGTCTGAAAACAGAAATTGATATTAAAGGCCAGGTCTGAAAAAGGGTGTGATAAAGGGTCAGGATTCTGAGAACTGGATGGCACACCCCCACCAAGAATTTCCAGGAGTACTCCACGTGGGATGCTGGCTCCTACCCAAGATGTTCCAATGGATCAATTGGGGTTCCACTGTAAAGAGAATTATTTATTTTAAGTGGGACTTTCAATTTAAGAATTTTGAATCATTTTTCAACAGGACCACCTATTATTACAGAACACACCCTACAAGCTTCAGAAATTAGTGAATCAAATGCAAAGTTGACGGTTTGTACTACTTTTAGTGTGTATTGTATTGCACATACTGGTAGAATTATTATATCGACGTCACTTGCTGATAAGACTGATAAAGATTAGTAGCTGGTCTTTCAACTTGTCGTACGTACTTGTTTAGAGAAATCAGTGACATTCAACATGCTTTGCATTCTCTTAACCAATCAAAGCATTGTGCTTAGTTCTTTACTAATCTTTACTTATGTTTTTGAAACCTCCTCACTTTAAATCATGTTAGATAAAAGTTATTGCTGTAAGTACATGTAGTCTCTGTCTTGATGTTTTAGACTGGTCCCTTTAGGATTGACACTGGAATCTTGTCAACGTTTAACCAACAACTCTGGATTCTATGCCAAATTAAGCTGAATGGAACCAAGCCAGGTAAATATGTTATAGTAATAAAAGTTCTATAGTCGTACAAATGATTAATTTATTGATAAACCGAAGCCAGTGCAGTCCCAGGATAAATACTGACCAATTTCCTAAATGAGCACCAAAGTTGAAGCTTCTATAGGTGGTTCCAGGGACATTGGACAACCTGGAAATTCTTTGGATTTTTACTCCCTGGGTTTCTGAGTGATTCAGACAGGATATTGGCTAGATTTTAACTTGGAAAGGTTTTTTCATTAAAAATATATTTATTTATGAAAAATTTGACCGACTTTTGTAAAACGGTGGGAACTGGTGTGAATCCATGCCTGCAAGTGAAACTGACATGGACAGAATGACTGGACAACCAATTACAATTTGACAAACAATAAAAGACTGTTAAACTGTGATAAAAGATGGATCGAAACACACCTGTAACATTTGGAGTCTTCATAGCCGATAACATTGCGGCTTAAAAACCATGCAGGACTATGCTTACCGGGATGATCATATTCCACCTACTTATCTAATAAAAAAGCTACTTTAATATTATTACCAGAACTGGTCATAAAAATATCATGCAGAAATCACTTGAAATATTTAGAACTACATTGTTTAAGTACAATTGAACACCACTGAAGAAACCACCCAAGAGCCAGGGGGGGACTCCCATATGAAAGGGGCAGAGATGCTCATCGGAAATTTTGAGTTAGACCCCTAAAGGAGACCAATCTGGGCGTGGCCCAACCATTTTTTGACCCCTAAAAGAGACCATTTTAAATTTTGATCACATGAATCGAGTAAATAAAATGAACTGAAAATATATAATTTTTTTATATTTCTTCATGTGCAACTCTAAAAGAGACCTTTAATACTAAATATAAAAGGCGTTTTGCCCAGAACACCCTAAGTGAGACCAAAATTTGAAATTTACACCGCCAAGTGAGACAACAAGCATCCCCACCCCTTTCATATGGGAGTCCCACCCAGGGCATTGTATTGCTTTTTTTTAAAGTAATATATGAAATTTTTGTCTTTACAGGGACTGCATTAATTCAAAGGTTTCATCTCAGTGTTAAACTGCTTGGAAGAGCCAAGGACAGCAGCTACCATCTTATAGGAACAACTGCTTACAACAGAACACGTGAACTTAACTGCAATAAGGTGTTTCTAAATTCACTGTATATTCGATTCTCTCTCTTCAACAAGATTTACCACCTTAGTCATTCAAGACTTGGTCCCATCTGGCATAAGTGCTCAGTCCCTAGAGTGGGGTAGCAGATGCCTGCATGGTTAAAGTAATAGGTATCTATGGGTCTTTCCAAAAGCCAGAATTTGCAGGCCAGACCTTAAAAATCATTTGAAAAATGAAATATTAGTCTTTTCAGAAAGTTTTTACTAAAACCTATATTTGCCGTGCATACCAATCAGGAATAAACTGATATGACTGGATAGTTCTGATTAATAGCTGAATTCTCCTTAGGACTGGATTGGTCTGGCCAACCTGTTCTGACAAATGGTAAGGCGTCTTGATTGAGAGTTTTGAACTGGTCGTGAATTCTTGGAAGCATTTATGACGAGTCGCAAAGTCTCATTTTTGCATTTCTTCATGCCTTCAGGGCTGTCATTAAAATTTCAGGTTGCTGGGGTAATGATACAAGTATATGGGAAGTCCAACAGCTAGGGATTTTGTTCGGTTCTATTTTTCCTACAAAAGTAGGCAGGGATCACTTTCATAATAGCCGGGGCCCCGGCTCCTAATGACAGCCCTGTGTCTTGGAGCCAGTTGACTTTGATTTTCTCGCAATAAGACTAATTATTAGTCTTGGATTTTGAAGGCCTTGGTGATTAGTCATAGGTTTACCATACAGGTTCTTTCACTAACCAGGGTCATTCCACTTAATATACACCTACTTTTTATAGGTTTATCTTGCTTCTGACTGCATTTACAGGTAGTTCACATTTACTTGGTTGATGAATTTTACAATATTATATGTTCTTATGAACTTTTCACCTCAGGAATGCAAGCCATTGGTGATTCTACATCTTGGATACATCGATTTTCCATCTTATGTTGCTGTTGTTAGTTTTCACAACCTCAACTTACCGAAAGGAATCCAAATCAGTGATATTGACTTTCAGGTAAGATTATATGGAAAGTTATCTCTTTCTGTGCTACAAATTTGTATACATCAGTCACATAATGGTATAATGTTCATAATTTTTGTTATTAATATTGATTTTTGATGTTGTGTTTGTAGTTGAAATACTACAATGCAGACTTCACGCAGGTGGAAATATGGTTTAGATTTGTTTTTCTGGTTCTCACATTCATGGTCACAGTAAGCTCCTTTTCTCTTTCTTTCTAATTCAAAATGGACTGAATTAAGTTTCTTTTGTTTTTGTGCTGTGATAAATCTAGGTGGCTTGATCTGTTATTAAATGAAAGTTTTGTTGTTTCTAGTGCATGTTTGCCCATTCTCTGAGAAGGTTTCCACTACATGAGTGGTCAATTGAACAAAAGTATGTAACATTTACTATTTTTACCATAAATTCTTGTATTTTTATTTCCTTTATGGCATAATGTCTTCTGCGTACAGAGAATTGTATCAGTCAAAACAAGCATGTTGGTTTATTTTTTCTTTGCAAAGGTGGATGTCACTTCTCCTTCCATTGTTATTGTTGTACAACGGTAAGATTTTAGTACTGGCAGTGTAATTTTCAATGCAAGACAAGTACTTTTTCTTTTCTTTACAAGCAAGGATCATTACCTGTCCCTGTTTGGTTAGCCCTAGCCTTTACAGAAGGGGTGGTGAATGGTACCTCGAAAAATGAGGGTCTCGGAAAAATTTTGGCAGGATCGCGAAATCTCGGAAGCGTTTTTGATAAGTCTCGAAGTCTCGTTTTTTCATGGTTTGCTTTTACTTTTTTTGAGTCTCGAAACTTTTCACCAAAGAGTCTCGGGCTCGGATTTCTAACTAGGATCTCGGCGTCTCGGCGAGTCTCGGATTTTACCATTCGCCACCCCTTACAGAGCTGTACACAGTGATGTGTTATTGAGTCACCAAATGAATGTAACTGGAATATGTTTTGTGGTGATGTTTCCTGGTTGGGAGCCTTGCAACTAATTGGGCACACAGGGCTGTCACTAAGGGCCACGTGGGGGCTGGCTTCTTAATATTAATCAGCTTAATTAGAGATTAATTTCTTCAGAAACTGAGGATTTTCAATAGGAGCTGGTGGCCGGCAAAATTTGCTGGATATTTTTTGTGAACTCGCTGCCTACTTTTCTTTGGCAGTTATACCCCAGTGTAAAATATAGAGTATTCATGTGCTGTAACTGAATAAAAAAGCCAGAATTTAGCGATGTCTGTGTTCTGTTCAAACACTCTAATTTTTGCTCTAGAATGCTGAAATGCACTCTAAGAGGCCCAAATGTCAAAATTTTCCAGAAACTCACATCTTCAGCGCTTGCAAGTCATGCCTTAATTTGGCGGGAGTTTTTTCCTTCTCCACCTATAGCTACTCCAAAGCTTTTGCCACCTGCTACTTTAAATCTTATTGAAAACTGTGGAAACTAAAGGAAAATGGAACTAAAAGACCTTCTTAGCTATATTCATACAATTCCCCAATCATGATTATTAATTGAATAAAGAGGGGTACCTGGCAACTGGAAATCTTAGGGACTAGCCCTGGACAGGCACCCTGTTATTTTCTATAACAGACCTGATGAGTGAAAGGTTAATTTTATTTAAAATTTGCTTTCCTGTGGCAGATCCATTGTTTCCACTGAACTTCTTGGTTGATAGCTGGGTGCCCAGCATGTTTGACTCAGTCTTCCAGGCATCTTTCCTCTGTGCACTTCTGCTCTTTTGGTTGTGTGCATTTCATGGCATCAGACAGGTTTGCGACACTAACCCTTCTTTTAGTTAAATTGAAGTTTATTGTTGCTGTAGCTGGAATAAGTTAATAGTTATTCATGTACGTTGAAGCTATATATATCATTTTATTTATTTATTTATTTTAATTAATCATTCCAATTAAAAATTGACTGAGGAACCCCTGTATCTCCACCCGCCTCGAACACAGTAGTTTGTGCTATTTGCCGGCGGAAATGACCTCCATGTACATGTATCCTGTATCACCAGCTTAACCTAACTTAATTCAGCATAACGAAATTCTTGTCTTAAATATTCTTTATTATAATAATTATTCATCTATATTATAATTTGGAGCTCTGGAAATCGCTGTTACTTAATTTTAAGTCATTATACTTTATTTTACAGGGTGTCAATATTGTTGTTAATATTAAAAATAAATATAATGTAATAAAGAATTAATTAAATAATTGGTATTGAAAATACTGCTGATAGTAATAACGGATGCCTGGATCAAAGGCCTAAGGGACTGATCATGACTGATAATCTTCTAGATTCTTCTTTCTATTTGCTGTCTGTAAATGCTTGGGAATCAATGGAAGAATTTCTTAATTCATCAGCAGTTACTTAGAGCTTTATTCTCCCTTACATGTTATTCTGATTGTGTGTTTAATATTGTTCTTGCAGAGTGAAAGGCGACTGAGTTTTTACCTTCCAAAGGTTCTGATTGTTGGCGTTCTATGGGTTTCAGCTTTCACTTTGTCATCTTGGCAACAGTGAGTCTTTGTATTAGTTGTGTTTCTAACATTCAGAGTCACAGGGTTCGCATGCACCTTGAAGTCCTTGAAAGTCCTTTAATTTTAAAATAAAAATCCAAGGCCTTGAAATTCCTTGAAAATTGCAGTCGGTGCTGGAAAGTCCTTGAATTTCACTTCTAACTTTATCCAACCCAGATTCTCAAGTGCCTAAAAGCAGCAAACACAGAAAGACCTTCAGGATAGGATTGCTCATGTTGTGGAAGAACTTTAAACGACATAGACTCAATAGGCTCTTTTTTGCACTGAGTGGAGTCCTTGGAAAATAGGAAATGTGTCCTTGAAAGCCTTTGAAAAGTCCTTGAATTTTTTGTTCAGAAAAAAGGGTACTAAGCCTGGAGTCAGATATGATAATAAAGACTGATTCCCTGATGCAGTTGGTACTTCTTATGCATAAAATATATAGCAGTATAATTCCCTTTCTCCTGGCATCCTTATTCTCAAAGTCTTTCTCTCATTAACCATTTCATACCTCATCACCTTCAAAGTTGTTCCCTGGTTGCAGCTGTTGATTTCTTGGGGAGGTTAATATTCACGAATCTCAACTGGCTGGAGGCAAACCAGCTCGCTGTCTTTATAAAGGTGGCTGAAGTTGAACTTGGGACTGCAAGAACAATCCAGCTTAGCAGCAGTTGGTACTGGACTTAAAACTGGGGCTCTTAATGCTCAAACATTAAGTTTCCTTCTCATAATTATATAATTTGGAGGATTAAGCTACTTGTGTGTAGCTTTACTCTCTTGAGGAGGCACCATTCTAGTACAGACATCTCTGTAGAGCTAGTTTTGAAGGGATCATGCTGAAAAATGACTTGCTTTCCAACAGGTATAATGAACTAGAAGATCCAACCTATCAGTATAAGATTGATATTGGCCACTTCATGGTAAGAACCCTTTAAGATGCCTAAAATCAAAATTGAGTATACAACCAATACCTAAAAAGTCATATTTTTTTCAATTGAATGAGGCAAATTCTGAAAAATAGGTAATACTAAGGGAAAGTTGGAATCCTGATTTCTCGAATGCTCAGTCTTTCCCCCCTCTATCAGTAAAACAAGGTACTTTTACCTCTTGAGCTGAAAATTCGAACCAATTTGCTTTCCCCATATCAGGATTCCACTGCAAAAAGTAGTTATCATCATGCCATGAGCTGCCTGGTTAGCTCAGCTGGGAGAGCGCCGGTCTGCTGAGGGGGAGGGCGCGGGTTCAAACCCTGGCCACCAGACCAACACTAAGGGTCTTAGTAACTGTGGAGAAAGTGCTGCCTTTGCAATGACATCTGCAAACGGTTAGACTTTCTAGTCTTCTCGGATGAGGATGAAAAACGTAGGTCCCATCTCACAGCACTTTCACTTATCTGGTTCTTGTGGGACATAAAAGAACATACACCACTGTTCGAAATGAGTAGGGGACGTAGACCCCGGTGGTGTGGCCAACCTCTCCTGGGCTGGGTGGGTTATCTACAAGGACACTTAAATTGGAGCCTCGACGCTCTGTTGTGTATTCTGCACCATATGGTGGAGGTGATGAAATAAATAAATTGGAAACTGACGGAAACAAAAAAGTCCTACCTCCCAAACACTGGGTATGACTCGGGAGGTGTTTATATGGAGCTCCAGATCCTGAAACTCATGGAGGTCGAGACCAAAAGTCAGAACTGGCAAAACAAGACTGGTCATCATGAAAATGTTTTAACATTATTAAAATTTATTATTTTATTATTATTATTAGTATTATTATTACTTTTAATTATTATTAAAATAGGCTTTTCCTGAGAGTTTTCGCTTAAGATCCAACACTGCTGTAAATGGTATATATTTACTTGAGAAATAATATTAATTATACAGATCTGGCTGAACATTCCTGATTCATAGTGAAATTCTCTTTTTCTTCAGGGCCTGAAGGTGTTGTTCTTCACGATTGGTGCAATTTACTTGGTTTATCTGGTGTACTTGTTAATCAGGGCATACAGTGAACTTAGGGCTATGCCTTACTTTGGTAAACATCTTAACTTTTTATTATTTTCTCACAGTAACTCCCAATGAAAAGCTCAATTCCTTTTTATAGCTGTAACAACAAATTCGCTATTGTATACAGACCTTTTTTTCCAATACTGTGAGATAGAGATGGCTACAACATCTAATTCATGCAAACGCACAAACAGTGTGTTCCAATGGTACAGTCATCAATGCATTGAAACTGATTAGTGTCAAATTCGATCTGACTTTGAGTGAATGCCCTAGTTGCAAATACCCGCTAAAAACATAACAAGCGAGAGCAAAATATGAGGGGTACTTGCCATTTACATGGGAAAACTGGAAATTCGGGTTTGGAAAATTTAATGGTTTGCAATATTCTGTTTGGGAAGGTTCAGAAAGTATGGGCTGTGATTTGAGGCGATGCAATTTTTTTGGTCTTTTGAACTTGTTTGGCAGATTTGGATATACTTTGTAGTGGCTTGTACTACAAATTTCATGGTTTTATGTTTATGCACAAGGTTTGCACCTGGAAGCACCCCAGGTCACATGACCTCTAAAGGTGGTGGGGGAAAGGATACAGGGTATCCAGTTGTTACATTAATGTAAACAGAATTATAAATTATGCCATAAATCCTCTATAGTCTAAGAGAAGAGGGTGGGAGGTGTATTTCTGGCAAATGTGAAAGTGGTAATGAGTATTTTACAATGGTAACCCCAGAATAACATATAAAATCAAAAGTTTTGGACTTCACCAGAGACAATCAATAGACGTTTCGATTTTGTGGGGACAATCATGCCTGATTTTAAAAAATGTAAGCTAATTACAAAGATTGTTTTTTGTTCTTTCTAGATTTATCACAAAAAGTTTTCTTACATTACATGTTTGATAAAATTTTTGTTAACAGATGTTCGGCTCAAGTTTCTTACTGGTCTTATGCTAATTGTTTTAACAATAAGGTAAGTAAAGGTTCCATTCTTTTGCCCCCGTGTAAGGTAATTGTGAAAATCTGGTAACGAGGAAATTTTTGCTTGTGGAATCCGGAATCTGGGGCTTTGAAATTCGGAAATCAGCTCAAGGTATTCGGAATCCCACTTATGATTTGATTTCGGAATCAAATAAAGGTCCATTGACAAAGAATGTAGAATCTGGTACTTGGAATCTGGAATCTAGAATCTTCTGCATGGAATCCAGGATCCAAGACTATCTTGTATTACTTTACATGGAGTGAGATTCTTTTACACCAACAGTATTATCGGACTAGCCCAGAGTTCAGACAGGTTATTTAAAACCTGGAAAGTCATGGAATTTAAGAATTTCATTTTCCAGGCCTGGAAAGTCATGGAATTTGATTGTCAGTCATTGAAAGTCATGGAAAATTAAATTATTTTGGGGGTAGATAAGTTACTGCAGATGACAAAGCAAGGACAATGTAAGATAAAGAGGAGTGATTAAACAGCTCAAATGGCACGCCTTTTTGGGACACCAGAGTTGGTGTCTGTTGAAGTATTTAAGTTCGAAAATACCTTAAAACACGGAAGGTTTTGAAAATTTTTTAAAGTGACGGCTAAACATAAGGTCATGGAAAACTTGAAACGGTCATGGAAAAAGTCCTGGAAAGTCCTGAAATTTGAAGAGCGTTAAAGAATACGAACTCTTGTTTATCCCCTTTGTGACAGCGTATTATAGACCAAAAAGCGAGACATGCAAGAGGAAAAGCAGCCAATGTAAAAACCACAGACATGAGCCTTGCTATGACCTCGTCTTTATTTAATGTACTCACCAGGGACCATAAATTCTTTAACTTTTGTATGGTCGTGTTTGGCAACAGTTTGTTTTATTTTAATAATATTGTTTCATTTTAATGATAAACCTGAATTCATGAACATTTTCAAATAAATGCTATCACAGATAGAGATGACTTTTCCCTGTGTTACCAAATATCAAGTCAACAATGTATCAGTATTGAGCTGCATTTTTATTTGTTTGTTAGCGTTACCATAAGTTTTGCCTTATTTATGGTTGGACTAATTGATAAAAACATACATGTAACATCCATCACGTACTTAACCTTAATATTGAGATCTACTTGCAGTTAAACAAATTCTTAGTTGATCAAGCCTTACTCATTTGTCACTGCCTTTGCTGTTGTTTTTCAGTGTGGTGATCACCGGCCTTCGATTTGGAACAGGAGTTTTACAAGACAATTTTGTTGCTGACCTTGAAACTCACTATGACAACTATATCCTTTAGTAGCTATGAGCAATGTCAACGACCCCCCTTCCAGAGTTCACTGCAACTAATCAAATTTTCAGAATCTCAGAAGAAGATAACCTCTCCCGCAGACGTTCTTTTGGCTCGTCATGCAATCCTCCTTAGGAACGTCTGCATGGGACGCTAAGAAGGAAGAGCTCGATTTTGATTTTGAATTTTCTCAAGGGTCGCAAGAGTCGAATGGCATTCGTGCTTGATGCATGACGGCATTCGTGCTTGATGCATGAAGTATTAATACCTTTTAATAAGCATTGACATCTCGTACGTCAAAAATGGCAACCGGAAGATGATATTTTCTTTCTTTCAGTGCTCTGACTCGACAAATTCGTACAGCGGGAGTTAAAACAAAGGTATTCAGATTTGTTGTGGTGAGACAGGAGCGTTCCATCAAGCGAGACATCGAACTTCCGGTTGCTATTTTATGACGTCCGGGGCGTCAGTGTTCCTGTTGCTTAAGCTCGCTGTTCCTATACGTCTAACCCTGGTTTTTTTTTACAGATTGCTTTTGTTCGTATTAATGTATATCTATCTGAGTGCCCGTATAAGTTTATTTTAAGTGTGTTTCCTTGACGCTGTTTACCCGCAGAGTTCCTGACATTTTTTGGCTTGCTCAACTTTTACCTGTACACCATGGCATTTGTATATTCCCCATCCAAAAACGCTTTATATGGTAAGCAAGTTGGCTTAGACGTTTTACTTACAACAGCATAGGTAATACCGTACGAAACGTTTTCACATGACGTCACGGCGGCCGTATTTGTGTGAAAAGTAATGAAACGGCGGTGATGTTTGTTTACCAAAAAATCCTGTGAGGATTGAAATCTTTTCTCATGCAAAAACTTTTTTGTTCCAAGAAGTTTGCATAGCTGTTGACCACGTGAATGAAAACGATTTATGTTGTCTATATGTAACAACCCTCGTTGGGAGTTTGAAATGGTAATTCCCCTTCGTATATAAGCCTCAGAATGTAAGAACCTCAAAGAAACCCTTTGAAAATTGTAAGCCAGCGGGGCTTAATTTCGGTATTTTAAGGTATTTGTGCTTTAATCTCAGTGCTCGACTGCAAAGTTCAAAAGCTAAGAGCGTTCAGCTCAGCCTCTTGTTGGCTCAAGAATGGTAATGCACATAGATTCGTCATATTTTCGCTTGGCTTGTTTTAACGATCTCCCGACTATCTGAGAGTCTGGTACGGGCTACACTCAGATTAACTTGTAATCTTTTTGGTTTGTTGGGTTTCAGAGTCGTATTTCCGTGATCATTCCTCGTTTTCAATGCTGAATGAATCTGAAGATGAGGATAATATATACAGGTGAGAAGTCTGCCCTTACAACTCAAAAAATAAAAGAAGATATAGGGGGAAATTTCTTTGTTGGCAAACCTTGTTTGTGTCCTAAGGGTGTACCTTGGTTCCAGAGGTTTTTGAAAGGAGAAAGAAAACCTCTACAACTAGTGTACCAATGGCGATGTATGCCTTGGTTATTGAGCGCTTTTATTTTCTGTTCTCTTTGCTCGTTCAACACTTCGGAAGTGCTAGCCTCTGGCATGAGACCATTCATTATCAATTAAATATAGACAGAGAATGTATATCTGCTAAACATCCATGGCAAGGCTTCCCGAGGGGGGCGGGGAGGGTGGTTATCGTATAAAAATGACGGGGATCCTCGTCGGAAAATTAAACATCTAAAGGGGACCAATCTGGGTCTAGGCTAAAAAATCATCCGTCCCTTCACCCCCCTCCCCAACCCCATGCACCAGGATTCAGACAATTCTGGGTGTGGAACAGGCCTTTATTTGACCACCAAAGGAGACCATACTTCAACACAGTATGGCGGCTGTTTTCATTTTAATTTCGGAATTTCTTTACGCCCAACTCAACGCGCTACCCCTAAGAAAGACGACAAGCGTCCCCGTCGTTAGGGACTAAAAGAACGAAAATTTACGTTTTAAGCGACGTTTTCGCTGCCGTTGCGTCGCGTCCTTGGGATTTCCTGGTGATGCGGTAGCGGAAAGTGTTATAATAAATATATATGTCAGAAATATTTTTACATTTTGTATCATTTTTCATTTCAGCTCTCATGTCGAAAAAGGCCAAATCGCAAGCAGTGACGAGGAATACTAACGCTACTTATAACATGGAAGGAATTGAGGCCATTTCACCCGAACTATAGTCGATTCGCTCGATTAGTAGATTATTTCAAAAACTGCTCAACAGGTCTAAAAACAAGTGAAAAACACTCCTATCTGTAGTAATATTCATTATCGTTGCGGTACGTGGTAGAAAGTATAGCCAACTCGACCTTTGACTTGTCTATTCAAGAACGAGAATCACAAACGCAGTTGAAGGTTGTTTTCAGACGTAAAGTAATTAGGCTTCCTTACAAGTCCATTTGACAGTGTATTCTAGTGAAGCCTTCGTTTCAATGGTCACCATTCACTCAATAGTGACATTGGGCGAATCGACGTTGTTGGGGGCGAATCAATCGGCTTCCAATGGAAGCCGGTCGTGTTTTGTATCTCACATTAGTTTGTTTGGAGGGTTAGGAGGTCTGGAAAGAAGAGGAGAGGGGCTGGAATAGAGAGAAGAAGTCGTTACGTCATGTAACCATGGAAACAGAATTTCTGGATCGCAACAAACCGTGCTTCTGCAAGTACGGCATAAAAAAAAGAAACGAAAAAAAAATTGACATGTATGACTTTCCTTGGCGTGATTGCAGTCAGGAACAAAACAGTAGCCCATACCTTTGTTCCATCGTTCGACCATGCAAATAGTCGTCTCTTTTGAGAAACGTGACGCCATACTTCTCCTCTCTATAAAGGAGGGGCCAAGGGTTAAAGGAAACACGCTTTTGTTTCTTATCGCAAAGTAACAAAGCCATCATCAAAAGAGTGGGAGGGGAGAGAGGGGGGGCAAAAGAAGTACAAAGAGAACTGAACGTGAGATTTTTTGAGCTCTATTTCCCGACCCTTCTCTCCAAACTAGATATTTTACGTTAATACTCTCCCACTATGTAATTTATTACGTGTTCATGGAAAGATGGCATCGGCAATTCAAAACTAAAGAAAACATGCATATTTCAAGAGAATTTATGAGAGGGGGTAGAGGTAGAGTGTGAATAGGTCAACACCCACCCTGAAAGTAGCGTTTTTTTAAAAAAAAGTGAACATAATACGGATGCGCTACTAAATGAACCGGGCGAATTATCATACAAATAAATCCTTGTCTTTATTGACAAAAGTGGCTAAATGAAAGTTGAAGTAGACTTATACTTTTTTAACTGAAATTTGGTGTCCTTCTGCTTAATCGGAGGTAGAGGATTAAAAGAAACGCTTAGACATATATTTTGAATAAAGTGTATAAGCCCTTGACATTTAATGGTTATGTTAAGACGGTTATCTGTAGATTGACCTGGTCTATTGCTGTATTTATTATATATAACTAAGTTAAATTCAGGCATGTAGAGTAACAAGCCAAGATAGAAATCGAGGTAGATTGAAAATCCCTGTTTGTATTGTGAGTTTACAATCAGCGACGTACAGACACTCGTCAATTTTGTTTATGTTTTGTGTTATTAAAACTTGGCATTTTATTCGTTGCTCTATTTCTTCATTACCAAAGAAGCGTTGTGAAAACAAGGTAATAACCCAAGTTGTATTTTAAAAATATCTTTATAATTAGCGCGCACAACCGATAAAATATTGCACCTGCTACTAAAGATACCGAGTCATGGACCCACTTTAAAGGGACTACACTGTAAGATGTCTTCGCATCAATTGAACTCTAAAAATAATGGTCCAGTTTTGTTGTTTAAGACAATATTTAAGCATTGAAACTGTTTCCTGTCGACTGTTTCTACGGATGGCAAGGATGGATATGGATTGAAGCTTGAAAAAGTTGGGCCAACATTTTCAGGTTTTGATGCTATGACTGACAAAAGCAATAAAAGACACTATGCCAGTAGTGTTTGCTGGTGAAGGAAATTTGTTTGCCGATTTCTTCTTCATAACAGTACCGGAGCATTTTGTGTCTCAGTAAAGGCAGCAACTTATAATCGGACACTCAAACAGGACAATTATGCTGCTTTCTTGCAGCAAATAAGGACTCTGAAAAGTTTCAACCCAGGAGTCATTTCATAAGTAGGTGGAGCATGATCGTCCGGGTGAACGTAGTCCTGGATAGTATACGACTGTTGTTGTTGTTGTTGTTGACAGTGACTGACGTCGAGTTGCGACAAACTCCTTCAGAGTCAAAGTGAGTTGTATCACGTCAGTCTATAAAAAAATTGAAGTACGGACACTTGGCGGAATAAAAATCAGGAAACCCCTGTTCTTAGATTAGACTACGAGTAGTCCCCATTTTTCCTCGGGGATAGTGGAGCGAGGGAAACGCGAGCGCGCGTGAAAATCACTCCACGCGAGAAAAGGTTCCCGAAAAGGTGACACGCGGTGTACGTAGTTTATTCTCAGAAAACATTATGTTCGCGTCCTTATGTTTTAAATGTAAAAGAACGCACTTAAAAAGTGCTTAAAAGTGCTTTTTTAGAATTGAGGGGGGACTGGCGGCAAAAGCAATTGCTTTAAAAACCAGCAAAACAAAACACTTAAGTGTAGGAAACACTTACGTGTACGAAATCGTAATACGATTTCCTACACTTAAGTGTTTTGTTTTGCTGGTTTGTTACACACGGTTGTTATTTACATTAGCTAACGTGTAGCCGCGTCCCCCCCCCCCCCCCCCCCCCCCCACCCCCCCCCCCCCCCCTCCTCCCCCCCCGCTCGGGCGGTCGGGGCAAAAAAACACAAAAATTTCCCCACATCTAAGACAGTCTTGTAACACCATGTCGTAGGTCTTATTGTATTATTTTTTAAAAATAGGGGGGGTAGTGCGCGAAAAAGCATTTCTGTAAAAACCCACAAAACAAAACCCATAAAGGTAGGAAACCCTTAAGTTTGACAAAACGTAAAACGATTTCCTACACTTAAGTGGTTTGGTTTGCTTGTTTTTTAAACACGGTTGTTAATTACATTAACAAACGTGTAGCCGCTGCCCCCCCCCCCACCCCCTCTTAGAGAGCTCCCTCTCTCCGTTTTTCCTTTGTCGGGAGGAGGGTGCGGCTAAAAATATAAATAAATTTCCCACTTTTTCACAGGTGCTTTATATCTGGATGAGTACGTATTAATTCATTACTATATGCGTTTGTCACTGGAGAAAGCGAGTCCAAAACTAGAAATAAGACTCGAACAAGATACGAACCATTTAGACATGAATGCTGTTCGCGTCTTTATATGAGAAGACATGTTCGTACTGAAACTAGACTCACTCACTCACTCACTCGTTCACTCATCAAGTCATCTTGTTTTCCTTCAGCACCTTATTTTCGTCCGATTCATGTCTTTTAGTAAAAAATACTTGACAAACAGGGAAACATTTACACTCTGCAGGAGCAAAAAGGAAGGGGAAGACGAAATGCGACGTGAAGGCTTTTTTCATGTAAATAAATAATTAACCTGCGAACGTAGACTAGAAGCGACGACCGGAAATGCGTTTGCGTTCGCAGGCTAATCCTTGAAAACATCCTACCATATCAAAACAGGAAACCCAAACAACAGGAAACTCATTTCTATGGTTTCTTTGCAATTCTCAATGTTCTTTCTTCGACAATGTTTGACTGACTTCCTGTACTCTCGTTCTGCTGTAACTGTCTTCCCGTCTGGTACCCTGATATAGAACTTCCGGATGTCGTACACACTTCCTCACACGTCGCATTGTTTTGCGGTGCTAAGTTGACTGGGCATAAATCAAAAACGAATGCTTGATGTAGTCGCCTGCGCTTTACCATAGTTCATAAAGTGGATCAAGAAAGAATGTTGAGTGGGATGTTTATGAAACCCGTCAGACTCCTTTGTTAATATACGTTTACAGGAGAGATGTTTATATCTGGGACTTGGAGGGGTACAACGTCCACTGAAAACAGTATTCTTATCATTCTGATCGTATTGGCCAATAAAAACGTTGCATTTGTTTATTTTGTCACAATTTGTAAGCTCCATTGACTCTGAAGATGATCATGACTACCGCACAGGTTGTCGAAACGTCATCCACTGTCAACAACAACAGTCCTATTCAGGACTACGTTGACCCGGACGATCATACTCAACCTACTTATAAAATGACTCCTGGGTTCAAACCTTTCACAAAAAACAAAGGATTGTGCACCGTCAGAGCCTCGTAGCCTGCGAAAACATCCGTTTCTCCTCGCTCTTCGCCGCTGAGGACGTTCCACGAGAAGCGTCCCCAGCGGCGAAGAGCGTACCCTCCCACGCAGGCGTTTTTAGGGGAGCTCGTTTTTCATCCCTCTCTGTGGGGGGAGATGAAAAACGAGCTCTCCTAAAAACGCCTGCGAGGGAGGCTACGAAGAGCGACGAGAAACGGATGTTTTCGCAGGCTAGGCCTAGGGAGCTTTAGTCTGCTACACAGCCGTTTTTAGTGTCGTCACGCAGTGCATTGCGTGACGACGCTAAAAACGGCTGTGCAGCAGACTAAGGGAGCTTCCAATTTAAACTGTACGCACCATTGTTTTTTCTTCGATGTTTGCCGCCTTTCATAACCTGTCTTCTCCTCTTATACGGGGAAGGAAAATATATGGAACGTTCATGAGAGGACACAGCGGCTTTTTACTGGAAGTACCATCCCACGCAGTGATGTTTTCTCCGCGGGCAGCTAATCCGACTTAATCCCATTTAATATGTCGCGCTCCTCGAAAGTGCGAAAATTTTCTTGTCGTGTATTAGATTTCAGATGCATTTTCTTAATCTTCATTTCGCGCCAGAATAAATTAGTTTGCGCGCAAAGGGCTCCTAAAAAATCACAAGGTTTGTCCCACCTCGAGTCCACCTTCTGGAGATACGCCGGCTTGGTAGCTGGAATACATTGCCGAGGCGAAGATCTGGCATTTTTTCCTCCTCGTCGTATTTTCTTCACGGCAAATGTTTATATTTGTAGTGAGAATGCAGCGC